AAATTGTGAATGAACTATGATTATCTAATTTCCTTTTATTTTGTTGAATGGTTAGGATGGGACTTTGTGGTGTAATGGTATACAACCCATTTGTCAAATTTCCAGAATAAATAAAAGTTGTGTCTTTGAAAATAGAACATTTTCCATTTTCAATGACAAACTTAAAACCTTCCTTATCCAATATTGGAATAGAAATAATGTTTTTTATTAAATCCGGAACATACAAACAGTTTGATAGACAAATCTTTACATCATTATTCAATGCTAGATAAACAGTCCCAATAGCTTTAGCAGCAACTCTTGCCCCATTGCCCATCCTTAGGATTGTTTCTTCACCATCTAGCATATTACTTCTTGCCATCATCTGCAAATCATTGCAAATATGTGAGCCACAGCCGGTATCCAATACCCAAGAAGAATCGTTAACAGACAAGTTAACTTCAACAAAATAAATACCTGAACTTTTCAGACTAGCAAGATACTCCTTGCAGTTCCTCTTCCAGTGCCCAGTTTTGCCACAATGAAAACATTCATGATCGGCCTGAGAATTAACCTTCTGTTTGTTCTTCCCTTTATCATTATATGCCTTCTTGTTGGGCTTATTGGGAACCTTTCCCTTCCTCTTCCTTTTCTTAGACTTAGTAGCCTTTGATCCGGAAGTGGATCCAACAAGAAGTACCGGCTTGTCCTTTTTAATGGTGGACTCAGCCGTCTTCAACATGTTTAATAATCCTGGAAGATCAGTTTCCATATTATGCATGTTGTAGTTAACGACAAAGTTATCGAATGACGCTGGCAGAGATTGCAACAATAAATCCACATAGAGTTCATTATCCATAATGACTCCAAGTGATTCGAGTCTTTCCACAAGAGCTATCATCTTCAGTCCATGATCATGAACTGAAGAGCCCTCGGTCATACGACACCTGAAAAGCTCTTTAGATATCTGATATCTAATTTGTCGCGTCCGATCACCATACAACTCTTGCAGGTGAGTTAGGATTTCAGAAGCATTATTCAGTAATTCGTTCTGTCTCTGTAGCTCATTAGACATTGATGCTAGCATGTAGCACCGAGCTTGGAGATTGTCATCAACATGACGCAAGTAGGCTCCATACTCTTCAGCAGTCTGATCCTCCGGTGGAGGAGGAGGAGCTGTTTCCAAAACATACTCTCGCTTCTCAGACTGAAGAACAATCTTTAGGTTCCTCAACCAATCATTGAAGTTGGGACCAGTTAATTTATTATGATCAAGGATACTCGCGATTGGATTCTTAGCCATTTTAGTAGTTTGATCTACAAAAATAACAAACGAAGCAGAAAATAATTAGACTATGGAATTTATATTCATTTAATATTAGGTCTTTAACATTAAATGTCTCCCACTAATTTAATTAGAACCTCATTATAATTATGAAAATCATTATTTTCATAGTGGGCTTGAAGTCCAATAAAAATATTTCATGTCCCAATTTTATGATGCCACCATGAAACAATTTTATCGGTAGTCAACTTTTTGACAATTGTATCTCTATACAACCTTCAAGATGTTTTGCCTCACCTTTCCTTATATACCTCAATTTTATGACTCCATATATATTACTCGGTGTCAAATCAAACCCATCAAAACTTTCATGATAACGGCCCACCAGAGTGTCCCACGACTCATGGCCAACACAAAGAGGAATCCGTCTCACGAATATCAATATATTTAATAGAGTTCACAGCTTTCGACATAGAATCATCCCACGACTCGTGGCCAATGATAAAACATCGTAGCATCTCATGTCATCTACTTTTGATGGAAGGCCTGGATTAATAAGTTCCAACTTATTTTTATCCATTATTGATTTGATATGGAATTAATCAAATTAATCCGTTTGGGTTCCTTGATCTCATCGATTACCATCTTTACGTTTATTTACCAGTTTCAGTCATCTAATGAAACGAAAGCGTAAATAAACCTAACATACATCTAATGCATGGTGGGATGATCATGTCCTTTCCTATTCGATCCATTCGAGCCAAAATGGATCTATGCATATGTACGTGATAAAACAAATAGTAGAACTACTTCTATTACATTTATTCTATCTACCCGTACAAGCACAGGCCTTCGAGATTACAACTTGTAAAATTACCCACACATGCGTGGGCCTTTGTCATCGAACGGTCTCCACCTTGATCTAATCTCTAACGATACAAAATTTAAAATTTTACAAATTTCATCTCAAGAGACTCGCAGGTCTCGATAAATTACATTTCTTCAATCATATTGAAAACATAATTAAACATCCATTCATTCATTCAATCATATTGAAAATGAAAACATCCATTCAAACATAATGAATATGAGGCTCATGATCATCCCTAAAACATTCATCTAATGAAATGAACATAAAATATCAATTTATGAGTCACACGACTCGTGTGAGGGTCACACGACCCGTGTGATCTTATCACACGACTCGTGTGAAAAATACGAATTGAAAATCAAAATTTTTCCCAGACTCACACGACTCGTGTGGCTCGTCACACGACTCGTGTGAGCTCACACGACTCGTGTGACAAGGTCACACGACTCGTGTGAAAATCACGAAGCTAAAATCAAAATTTTTCTTCATGCCACACGACTCGTGTGACAAGGTCACACGACTCGTGTGGCTTAAAAACGATTTTTAATTTTATAATTAATATTTTTATCATATAAAAAATTAATTATATTGCTTATCTCATAAGTCTTAACAAATCAAAATCTGTTTTAAAGACGATAACCGTGGCTCTGATACCACTGTTGGGTTCGATAGTACCGTACGGGCTGTACGCAGCGGAATTTAAAATTTTTAAAGTAAGTATTTATCGTATAAATACAACACCCGTACATACTAATTGCGAATTAACTGATCGTCATCTTTAAAACATGCATCATATACAAATTTTGATTTGTTACTATAAAGTAAATACTAGTAAAAATATTTACCGAATGTCTTGAACTCCTTCACTATTGATGATGGATGAGGGAATCGGTTCCCGGTTGTAACTTCAACGACTTGAGGTTACTCGCTAGAGGAATCCAAGTGTCTTCCCTCTAAACGTATCCACCCTATGAAGCCCGGTTCCGACGACTTTCCTTCGCTAGTAGAAAAGACTCGGTTTTCTTGTATAGGAATATTTATGAATTTTATTTGGGAATTTTAAGAACTCTTTCTTGAAGTTTTATGAAGAACACTTTCTTCTCTTTCTAACACTTAGAAATTTAGGATCAAAAACTTCACTTAAATGCAAAACCATTTTGCATATATTTATACTAAACATTTTAGCATAAAATAATCAACATTTAGTAATATTAAATAAAATCAAATTTTATTTAAATAGTATTTACTAACTTTTGACTTTGAAAATAATAAGATATGTTAAGTAGTTCAAACAACCATCAACAACCATTTTATTATAATCATATTTATTATTTTAATCCTTAAATCATATTTAAAGATATAAATAATAATTGGATAATAAATCTTGAGAATCTTTCTCAAGACTTTATTATTATATCATTTTCCCAATATTATAATAATCATATTATTATTATTTTGGATTTTTGAAATTTAAAATCCTATTTTAAAATTCAACTTTATTAATTTAGTAATTACCTTAATTACTAAAGTAATATCCAAAATGTAATTAATCAATCTTATTGATTAATATATTCCTTTAATTGATATCTAATCAAATTAGATATTTATCAATTAATTCTAACCATTAGAAATACAATCTTTACCTTTGTTCATAATTAGTGTGACCTTTTAGGTTCACCTTAATACTAGTAGTGGGTTTACAACACTTTGTAATTTGAGTTAAATCTTATTAACTCTTATTCATGAATTAACCCTTTAATTTATGAACCCACATATCATGGTAACACCTAGCAAGTAGCATGAATCTAGTATTAAGTGAATAGCGAGTAAACCTATTCCGATTACAACTCCATACATGTAAAATCCTTTCGACATCTAATTTCCCGATTAAGTCTTGGGTATGATTTTGTCGAAACCCAAATTGACTTAATAACTATGATTCTATTTCATGTTTATTAACCCGGTTATGAATCACTATTCATCTCTGCCTTGGCCAAGGACTTTGGATTAATAACTATGAAACACATAGGAAATTCACTTATCTTCATAAGTGTCGAATCCTTTATTGGCCACTAACAAACTTCCATACATATTAACATAATACCCAACTTATCCCTTTAAACGATAGTGCTAGCTACCAAAAGGATAAATCAAAGTAGAATGTAATATGCACAAAGTTACCATTGTGCCTCAAGTCTTAGGATTAGTCATGTACTATTGTAACATGAAAATTCTTATTCGACTGAATAAATTCTTCATTAAGAATTTTCATACGGTCATGTTCAGTGAACTTGTTCTCTAACAAGCACCCACATAAATGTACTTACGTCTTACGCTAATGTTGATGGAATGCAACATTCTTGTCCAACAAGCATACAAACTATGTGCAAGTCTTTTATGGATTATTCGATATCCCATCTCGAAACATCCATCGACTTGGAACTGTATTTAAGATCACGGCTTTCAAGGTATGTTCCATGATCACCATCTCTATGCGCAACCATACCTTATAACCATAAGTGATCTAGGGATTTTATCTTAAGTGCAATTATAAGATAAATGCTTTCTCTTAAGATAAAGAAATGCCTTATTCATAATATAATTCCAATAGACTGTATTTACAAGTAGAATACGTCCAATTAGATTGGAACGCCGGGTACCCTACTCTAACAAATATCCCTCAAACAGCATAACAGAAAATATCTCAAATTCAATCCCAACAGCAATACAATAAACAACAATATATACGGACGACCAACAACCAGCCCCACTCCACACTTACAAAAAGGATGTTGTCCTCAACGGCACGACACCATGAATGTAGAAAAGAAAATAAAAACAAAGAGGGTTCGTGGACTTCCCTCATCATGAATGGCATCCTAGTGCGTGCGGTAGGCAAGATGAGTGGCATAAGTGAGAAGGGCCTAGTTCCAACTCCTCGACCCGAGCCTGAGTCGCTGCGTGCTCAACTCGCATCAGCTCAAGCTTCCTATGCACGTCGGAGGCTGATGGGTCAGAGTCTGATGGACGGGCTAAGCTTTGCTGTTGCTCGGCTGGGACCTGCTCCTCCTGTGGCTGCTCTTGCGGGATCTGCTCTGGTTGCTCGGGAAAGTCGACATGCTGCATCTTCACGTTCGTAGTGACGGAGAGGTCTATAAAAGAGGGGTTAGGAAAATGCAACTTCTCCGTCGTTGACACCATCCAGTTGTGCGTGCCAGCTTCTCGGGTTAGGGCTCCGATATACTCGAGCATCTTCACATCTAAATGTGCCACCCGACCGATCACCTTCCTCTCGTGCAACTCGAGACTGAAATGTTCGGCTATGCACGTAACCAGTCCCCCAACAGCGGTGTGGTCACGTCTCGAAATGACTCCGAAGAGGTTGTCGATGATAGCAGACGCAGTCTTGATGCGATTTCCCTTTTAACGTGCACCACAGCAGTTTCTGCTTAACCCTTTGGACCACGTGTCGATTATCATATCGGCCAGTGACAAGGTAGATGCACATTTGCTGCATATATCGCAATGTCGGGTTGCGAATCTCAACACCCTTGGAAGATCAGGAAAACTCTTTAGCGTTGGTGATAGCCAGCCACGCTTCATCGTTATCCATTTCCACCTCGTCCACTGCATCATCAGGGAGTCCGAATGCGGCGGCGAAATCTTCATTCCCCCACATGAGATCAACACCATCAAGATGTAAATCGACCCCCTCGTCTACCTTCCTCAGAGAACTGAAAATTCGAAGGTTAGGTCTTCGTAGACGAGCCAATCAGCTGTCATTAGCTTCCTCCATCCTAGCACATCAAGGAGACATCAAACTTTGGTGTGGAGATCGAGTTCACCTAACGCGCCCTCGTCGATAAAACTGATGGGCTTCTCTTGTCGGGAAATTAACTGTGATACTTGGAGAATTGTAGCCCACTCCCGAAAGGGAGCCCTTAAATATTGGCGCACCCGACCGATAGTACTGGACGACGAGCCTTTTTGGATGTTCATTGCCACTTTACTGCTGGTTCAGTGGTTGTGACCTCGGCAGGGGCTGGCTCTCGGCTCGACTTGATCGTTCAAGCCTGCTTAGCTGCAGGGGCCTCCTCCGATGTTCTTGAGTTCTCCAATGAGGCTCGGGTTCATTTGACGGGCATCCCATAGGACATTACCTTTTAAAATTTTTTCCGACTCAGAGACGTTTCTGATTTCCTTTGATGGAGATCGTCTGATTACCACAACTCAATCGGTTGAAGAGTTTGGCCTTTGTCGACTCTAGTCGAGTGTTGAATCACGAACAGATCACCGGAACGAACTTTTCGGGCTCGGGACAGCTGGGCAGGTTCGGATCAGTCTCGGGTCAGATCGGGTTGCAGCGGTTCGGGTTGCGGACAGGTCCGAGTCACGGACAGGCGCGGATCGCGGTCTGGCCGTGTGGTGCGTGTCGTTGGCTGGTCGCATCGGGTCGTGACGCGCGGGACTGGGACACGGGCGCTGGGTGTCGCAGTCTATTCGTGTGCGTGCAGTACAGCACTCCTAGGTCGACGTGGGCAGGGACTCGGACAGCTGACAGACGCATGCGGGGACTGGGCTTCACGCGGGCGTGCGCGGCAAGTCTCCTGGGCGCACGAGGAAAGTTGGGCGCGTGGATCGCGGTCGCTGGGATCGGGGACGATGATCGCAAGCAGGAACTGCGAGGCACGAGAAATGATCGGCACGGGACTTCGCAGCTTGGACCTGGGCGCGATGTTTGGCTGTGCGTGACTGCGGGCGGGCCTCGCGGTTGCGCGCGGCTGAGCTCGGGCGAGGTCTTGGTCGCGATCGGCGGCAATGGCGGATTTCCGGCAAAGACGACGGCGGCAGTCGGCTGGGGAAGATGGCCAGAAAATATGAAGGTTTGGGGTTTAATATAATATCACCTTAAAGCCTTCTAATGGATTACCTAAACACCCATTTCAATTAATCTTGGTGGTGCGATTAATTGAATCTCCCTAACTCTCAAACAAGACAATTCTCTCTCTCTTAAAGATGAGAAAATCGGCCCTAGCACATTGTGTCTCAAGAGGTTTGTACATGGTGTATTTATAGGCTCCATTAGGGACCTTAAGGAGGTGCCAAATATGGGCTTATCTCATTAGGCCAAGGAATCCTAATTCTACTCCATAAACTAATCCATATTAGGTCATGATTCCTTTCTCCTAACATTACCTTCTAGAAGACTCTCTAGTCTCCTAACCCTACGTAATATTCTAGAAGGAATATTCCCTAAGTCTTGGAATAAAAAATATAGAATAAAATTGATTCCTAAAATTCTAATAAAATTAAATAATAATATATCCCACTAGAATATTATTATTGCTCTCCCCATTTGGCTCCAATTTAATCAATTAAATTAAACCTCCACTTGATTAATAAATATTAATTTAATTGACCGATTTACCTCCCCATGTTTAAGATATAACGTCCGTGGATTAATTAAATTACTGACAAGATAATTAATCGACTTCTTATTTATTTCCGAAATTAGTACCACTCAAAACTTTAATCATTGTGTGGGATAAATATACACCTGCAGGGTTTAACACAATATTCCTTCCTGAGCTCATTTCGGGGACGTCATCAATCCAGCGCACTGGAACACGGTACCATAAATAATTTACAATAGCTCGTCATATAAGCATTCTTATTTACCAAAGTACCGAGTATGTCATCCTAATAAAATAGGAATCACCCTTGGTAAATCAAATAAATAAGTATGAATATAAACGACTATTTTATATTATGTTACAGCTTTAGAGAACGAGTCAATCATTGAAAGTATAGATTACAACAACGATCAGTGAGTTTCATAATCTTATCCTTCCGGTGGTCATGTTCAATACTTAACATAAGTACTAGTGTAATTCTCCAGTTAAGGTCAACTGAATCAAGAATACACTACAGTCTTTTTCCAAGTGGGGTATCACTGCCAGTCTAGACTGTGAACAAGTGTTTTAGTCATACAAGGAACTGATAGGTGACCTTTCTGTTCGAGACACCACGAACAACACTATCTCAATGTAAGACAAAGAGTATGATTGCATAAATAAATAAACTGCAAACATATTTATACTTTGAGTAAAACATGATTGCCAGATCAAAATGATATTATTAATATCTGAAAGCCAAGCTTTTACAGCATATCTAACATAAACACAATAATTTCTCAAATTAGCACGTAAATCCCCTAAATCGAAATTAAATGATTTTAAAATCCAGCGAGCGAACCAAGTAAGAGCAGATAATAATAATAATCAAGTTTTTCAGTTTGAGCTTAGTACTTAGAATATTTTGCTCGAACATTATGTAGCTTAAGGAGAGTCGAGCTTCCGACAGCTACCATTCATCCAGCAATCACTTGCCTAGTAGTATCAGCATATTAGGTGGGGGTTACGGACTGGGTACCACATCGTCTTTAATTACTTTACCATGTCTGAGATATGTATGAGAAAAATATTATCGCCTATGATTGGAGGCTGAGCGGACCTTAATGATCCACCTATGGTATCGCCCAGGCTTGGAGGCTTTCGGGCCTTAATGATCCACATGTGGTCCTGATGGAGGCCTTAACGGGCCTTAATGATCCAATCGGAGTGTGCACATGATTTAGAGGCTTTGAGCCGAGGGTTTTTATAACCACCAGTTCAGTTCATTTCAGTTCATATCAGTTCAGTTGCTTATGTACTTAAGTCATGATATCGTTATTATTGAGTTGTTTTATTCAATATGGATTTTTTCGGAGCATAGAGGTTTTGCTCACGCCCCCACTAACTTTCTTCTAGAATTTTAACTGTTAGGAGGATTTAATATCTTCTAGAATATTATCAAGTTGGAAGACATAACTAGAAGGATAACTAAGTTGGAAGGCGCTAGGACTTCTAGAAGTATAATGAGTTGAAAACATAAGGTTTCCTAATCCTATTTGGAGAAGCTCATATCTAGCATCTCCTTAGGGTCCATGTTGTAGAATATAAATACACCAAGTCCCAACACCTCCTCAATAACAATGAGTCATCTGATTTTTAGTCTTCCAAGAGAGAAAAATCGAGTGAAAAAAATTTAGGAGGTTTCGAGAGTTTCATTTAGTCGCACCACCAAGACTATTCAGAGTAGGTTTGAGAGGTTTAGGGACTTTTAGTCCCGGTGAATTAATTATTACCGAAAAAATTTCTAGGCAAAAATCATCCACCGAAAACTACTTCTAGCGACCGACCAGCCACCGTATGCAAGCTCCGACAATGCCCTGTCTTAGCCACAACCTTGCATGTGCAGCCAGCAGCGACCCGACCAGCCCAACACTGCGAACTGCCTGCTCGTAGACATGAAGACCCGGTGACCTCGTCCGACGTTCCCGAGCCTGATGCGCTTAGCCCTCGAGATCCTTAGCCCCAGCAGCGTGTGACCCGCAAGAATTCCGAACAGCGCTCGACGCGCACGCATGCGGACAACGCCTGATGAGCAGAGATCCGTGCGACCCCGACAGTGCCCGATACGCACCAGCAGCCCAATAAAGTGACCCGCGCGACCCAATCGTGTCGATCTGCTCATGACCGATTTCTGGTGACCGATTATCAACCGAGAAGGCCATGTCTGGCTGCCCTACAGACTCTGCGAATTAGACGATTTCAACAATGGAAATCTACAAGGTCTCAGATTCCACAAATTTTTGCACCAAGTCCTAATACTAACTATGGAAGAGCGAAGTGAACAGGCAGAAAGAGGTCTTTATCATATATTAATGTAGTAAAGATTTAAGCAAACAAGAAAGGAAATCCAAAAGGGAAGCTACATGAAAATGCTTTCTCATTTAGTGCAATCAGGGTTTGTTTACAAGCCTCGAATATATTTAGCTAGAATAGATCTAGCTAGAAGGAGAAATGAGATAAGGATGGCTCATATGTGAGCTGTGCATATGAACAAAAAATGCTCAAGGGTTCTCTTCAAAACTTGTACTGCAAGGATACAAATCTCACTTGTCGACTGTATGCTGACGTGGAAGTTAACTGGCCATGTCAAGGTTTGTTATTTCCCAAAATCCCCTCTCAATTGAAAGAGCTGAGAGGGAGAACGAGTTTGTTCCTCATGCGAGCGAAGAATTACCCGATAAGTGGTTTAGTTAAAATGCCAGTTGCTTGGTCCATTGTTGGCACATGTAAAACTTAGATGAACTTGTTGAGGACCTTCTCCATGGTAAAATGAAGGTTGAATTCAATGTGTTATGTTGTCTTTTGAATAACTGGCCCCAAGGTTATCAACCCAAATGGTTGGAGAAGAGACTTGTGAAACATGCAACACGTGAAGTAGAGTTTTGATCCACTAAACATCAGATACAACATGCTGTAAACTTCAATACTCAACCTCAGTACTGTTGTAGGAAACATTGTGTTGTTTCTTTGAACACCAAAAATCTAGGTTAGAGCCAACAGAGAAACAATGTCCTAAGGTGAATTTCCTATCATCAGGATCACTGGCCCAATCACTATCTGAGAAGTCTAAGATATTTAGATGAGAAGATCTTAAATGATATAAGCCATAGTTTGTTGTCCTAGCAAGATACCTTAGCAATCTTTTGACTGATTTTCAATGAGAATCCAAAGTGAACTGCATAAATTCATCCACTCACATAATTTTAATTTCCTATC